TGAAATTAAAGACTAATGGTAAGATTTTAGAGTAATTATTCTGCAAATATCATTTACTAATATTAAATTAATTGCAGCTTTGTCCACCCTATATTTAAAAGCAGATGAATTGGTTTCCTACAAACACAAAAGCGCTTTACTAAAAGAATATACATATTTGAAAAAAGGGTTTGATACAGGAAGTTTTTAGTAAAAAGTACATAGTTACAAATCATTTCAAAAAAGAAAGCAATGGCCTTTTAAAGTTGAGAAGAAGTTTTTAAAGCATTCACGAGAAGATAGTGAAAGGTGCTATCCTCTCCTCAGAAAAACTCTAAAGTATCCCTTGCTGGAGATTTCAACTTTACAAAAGTGCACTGCTAAAATTAATCTAAATATGGTCTTTTGGATGATTTATTTAATTACTTCAAGTGTATGTAATATCTCTGTGTATTGTATGTTTATAAACACAATAGATAAAACTGTTTTTCTCTACTTTGATACCTATATTTATAGATTAATATAATAAAACTGGGTTGTTGTTGCTTTGTTGTTTCTTTTTTTTTAATAAATTATACTGTTCATACATCTTAGAAACTGACAAAATATAATTTTTATTTCGGATATACATACATTGTATGTTTCCCTAAGTCAAACAGAGCCTTGTTTTCCTCTATAAAATTATTTGTAACTACTTTTTTCAATAAAGTAGTTTCTTTTAGTAAATCCCTTTGACTTTTCTTGCTTTTCATTGTGTTTAATGTTTAAGAAACCATATACTCTGCTTTTAAATGTAGGGTAGACAAAGCTGCAATTAATTTATTAATGGTGAATAATATTTTCAGAGGAATACCTACTTGAAAATCTTACCATTAGCCTTTAATTTCAATTTAGGTTCAGTCCCTTTATTACTTCTAATGCTTTTTGTCTATAAAAATTATAAGTTGTTTGGCAGGCAACAGTAACTCTACGGCCAACTACGGCTAGCTACAGGCTTGCCAAAATTTCAAAATATTTCGAGATGTAAACAAAGTGCCATCCGAATTCAACTCTAATCCAAAATGTTTAAAATAAACCGCTCACACAATAAAACTTATCTTTATAATTCAAATAAAAAGCTATTCATTTAAAATTTGATGAAAATCATTACATGATTTTTCCTTGCTGTTTTGTCTTTCAAAAAATCAAACTACACAATCGATATTATAAAAACTCTAACACAAGAATAAAAATATAAACACCACTAAATAACAATAAAATATTAGATTTTTTAAAAAACTAATGTACGACACCAAGTAAAATATTTTCTGTCAACTCACTTTTTCATATCGTGACGTCACTGCGTCCTTAGCAACCGTGTTGTCTACGAAGCATGGCCATGGATATGATTCGTATTTTAAGTAACTGTTTTTGTTAGTCATGTCCTATTTTAAACACATTTTTTTGTCGATCAGTTGGTATAATAAATTTTTGTGTATAAATTCTACCAATTTTAAGCATACCTATAAGGGTTTTATAAATTTTCGTGTCTTGTAAACCGGATTATTGAATAAAAATAGATACATATACCTACTTGTTCACATTTTTCGAAAATCTAAAAAAATTGCAAATACAAAAAATGTTCGAATTGTTTATTTTTTGCCGCACAATAACTGAAAGTACGCATTAGGCATTTCAAACAAAAAAGTGTTGTCGTGGGAAGGTTTGGTATATCTATAAGGGGTTGCGACATATGATGCATTTTATCTACAACACGTGAAATCATGAATAATGGGATTAAATTTAAATATCGGCAAAAATAATTCACGTCTTCGTTACTCGCTCGGTAGCCATAATTTGGCGTCTTCGTATGTACCTAGATTTAGGTGTTTTAGTGACACGTAGTGGACCTACTAATGTTTATTACCAAATTACTTTTGAATTATTATAGAAAAATAGTCAATTTGATATTTTCAAAATTCTATTTAATCATCTTTCTTTAATACTATAGTTACAGTTCCAACACATTATAACATGTGACAGATATACGATTAATGTCCATGATAACTACGCACACAGCTCTGAATTAAATCCAAACTAACACTTAAAAAGAAGAAGAGCTGAATACTCCGACATGCGTTATTTTTTCTATATCCTACTTTAGAAATATTTTGTATCACTTCATATTTCAACAATATTTTAAAATCAAATATTTATAAATTTACTGAATACGCTGTTGTAAACTACCAACACTTGATGTATAACGTATTGCCTAGAAGGCGGTAGAAGTTACCAATTGCCATGTAATTTTATTTAGCGTTGAGACTAGCATGTTATTTATTGTTCTTAAAATTTCGCATGTCTTAGAGAAAGGTATATATGAGGTATTCGATGAATAAAGGAATATAAGCACCCTCTTGCACACTTTTGAAAACCTTAGCCCTCCGAGTTTAAGTTTGCAAACTGTTTTTCGATCTGTAAATCACACTTACGAGCCCTATTGATTTTGAAATAACTCTGTAATACCTTATTTACTGAATTTTTAATAATATTTAGTTTTTTTATTGTAGAATATACCGAAAAATCGCCGGAAAAAGTAAAAGAAAATTTAGATACTAAATCCAATGGTATAGCTAATTCAGCTGGTAGGCGGGGATCACTGCAATTATGGCAGTTTCTCGTAGCTCTATTGGACGCCCCGGACGCTAGTGCTGGATGTATAGCATGGACAGGAAGGGGCATGGAATTTAAATTAATAGAACCAGAAGAGGTAATTTTTGTTGTTATAATAATAAATAAAATGCAAAGTGCTGGTAATCGTTTTCAACACAAATAAATATGTGTGACACTGTTTTTTTTTTAATATTTTTTCTTGGTACGCTATCATTGATAAATAAAATGTTTCTAAAGCATATCTTGACTGAAAAACTGTATTGAATTGAATAATTTTCTAGAACATTTTGTGGTTCACTTCTCAATACATATTGTTACGCAGATTTTTGGTATCACAATTTATTTCAACTCAACTTTTACAATAACTCAATTCAACTTTAACAATAACTTCCAATTGATAACATTAACGTATAACGTCTATCATAAAACTGACTATCTGACGTCAGGATCATCCTTATATAGCTTGCCGGACACTTCTCGAACTATCGTCTAGAATATTCTTGGCGGGAAATGACATTTCCAGACATTTCTGGACTGTTCTATCTTCTTTTACTTGCACTTTTTCTTATGATGACCGCAACACACTGTAAGACGATGAGTAACATTCAACTTCTTTTTCTATGTGTACGTTTCCTATAATAGTCGCAGGCTACTGCAGGGTGCTGCGTAACATTGCTCCCTCCTCTCTAGTTATTCGCCCCGAATAACTTAATTACTAGGACCTGGTTGGAGCCAACGGGGAGGATCTGGACCACTATATGACGCTAACTTTTTAACGTAAACTATCTTGGGTTTACTTCCCGCTAACAACTGAATGCGTTAAATGATGTCGTTAATTTGCTTGAGGACGGTGTAGAAGCCTTTCCAGTTCCGTTGCAGTTTCTAACAAAGTTTTCCTCGCTTCTTGGGATTGCACAGCCATACCTGGTCCCCTCTTTCAAAATGTGTATCTGTAGCACGTCTGTCGCTTCTAGCTTCTGCTTTATCGGTTTGGGCTTTCAGTCGTTCCCGAGCGATCCATAGACCTTTGTCATGCCACACACTTTTTACACCAATCCGCTACATCCCGTCGGCAATTGACCCAATAAAATCTTTCCCGAACTCGTGCCAGTGTTCTTTTAGTATCAAAGTGTCCTCCTGAATGGTTACTATGAAGCTCCTCCAATACATTTCTCACCTGCAACTTCGGCAGACTACATAAACTCCATCGGGGCTCTCCCACTTCCGGTGCAATAGGCCATCGTGAAGATACAGGGAATGCCACTGGGTCCAGTAGCCTTTTATAATTCTACTGTATTTGGCTATCTCTTGCCAAGTAGGTGTGACTTTATTTTTGAGCCATTCTAGGACAACCTTTAAGTCATTGTCTTTCTTCTGTCCCTGTCTCAGACTTTCAAGGGTGATTTCTTCTTCGTCGCCCTCTGGCTTGATAGTGGTTGTCCGAAGAGTAACTTTATCAACCGGTTCTTCTTGTTCTTTGAGCCTTTTACCATACCAGCATTGTTCCTCTAAACGGGGTTGCCCGAAGAGAATGTCTGCCTTGCTATGGAGACCTTTTCGATGCTCTACTTTCTGAATTATTGTTAGAAAGCCGGCTCGGTGTGTGTGATTGGCTTCTTCGGGGCGCATAGCTGCTGTAATTAATTCTTGTTGGTCCTAGTGATGGGCTTGGAAAGATCGATCTATATGATTTTCCGGTCTCATTCGGTGATTCTCGATTTATAGAATGAGCCATGCTTCTATAGGTTCTTTGAAGATGCCCGATTCTTCCGCAATTGAAGCATCCCCTGCTTCAATTTTGGCTGTTTCGTTGCATATTTCGTAGGATATTTAAGATTTGGGAAATATCATTAGTATTGGCCTCCTCACTTTCTTGGGATTTAATTTCCCTTACTTTTGCGAGAGAAGATCTGGATAAGAGTTTTACCGCTTCATATTCCTGGGCTACAATCAGTTTCTCCCTCAGCGTCTTGTGATGTTGTAGACGTAGGTCTTGCTGCATTTCCGCATCTTGTAATCCATCAATGATAATGCCTCTATTCCGATTTGTTCTTGGAAATCTTTGGGCGCCTGTGGATAGGCCAGATGAATCAATCTTCTTATGTCGGTCCCGAATTCCTGTAGACTCTCATTATGTTTCTGACTACGAATTTTAAGCTGGCCTTGAAATACCCGTTTCAAATGCTGCTGGCCATATCTTGTCTCAAAAGCTTGAACGAGAGATGAATAACTGGGTTCCTCTTGAGGAAGTAACTGTAAAACGGTTGCTGCCTGACCTCGCAGTGACACTATCAATGGAGCCGCCATCTCTTTCTCGGTCCAGCCATTGGCTCTAGCTGCAGCTTCAAATTGGAGTCGGTATGTTTCCCATGTTGTCTGACCGTCAAACGTGAGGGGCTTAAGGGTCTTGCTAGTATAGTTTTGTGATACTGGGATTCGAATGTGGCTTGGTTCGGTTATGGATGAAGACGAGGTAGTGTTTTCAGTTTCTTTGTTGCTTATAGAAGCTTGGCTACGAATTTTTCTTTCTAACTCAACCAGTTTAGTTCTAATTTACCTTTCAAACTCTACTCTAGCCTTTTCCTGTTGTTTTAAAATCTCTCTTTGTTGTTCTAAATTAGTTTTTAAATGCTCTTGCTGCTGTTCTAAATTAACTTTTAAATGCTCTTGTTGTTGCTCTAACAGATCTACTCTAATTTTAAGCTGACTAACCTCTTGCTTGAAGGTTTCTTGGATTTGTAGCGAACCGTTCATAATTTCTACCTCAGCTTTTCTACGCCTTTCTTTTTTCTCCTCTTCCTTCCTACGCATTTTCTTTTCCTTCTTCCTAAGCCTTTCCTTTTCCTCCTCTTCTTCCTTCCTACGCCTTTCCTTTTCTTTCTTCCTTCGTCTTTCCGTATCTTTTTCTCGCCTTTCTTTCTCTTCTTCCTCCTTCCTACGCCTTTCCTTTTCCTCCTATTCTTCCTTCCTATGCCTTTCCTTTTTCTCCTTCATCTTCAAAAACCATGCTGTGGGACCTGAAGTATCCATGCCTGTTTCGTATTCGGTGGATCTAGGATTTACTATGAATGTATATACCACCGCTGTCACCAATGTTACGCAGGTTTTTGGTATCACAATTTATTTTAACTCAACTTTTACAATAACTCAATTCAACTTTAACAATGACTTCCAACTGATAATATTAACGTATAACGTCTATCATAAAACTGACTGTCTGACGTCAGGGTCATCCTTAAATAGCTTGCTTGACCCTTCTTGAACCTTCTCGAACTGTAGTCTAGAATATTCTAGACATGTAATGACATTTCCAGACATTTCTGGACTATTCCATCTTCTTTTACTTATGACGTCCGCAGCACAATGTAGGGCGAATGGGTAAATTATCCTGTAGGATATAGCCCAATAAAGGAAGAAGAAGAAAAAGAACACTGTAGGGCGATGAGTAACATTCCACTTCTTTTTCTATCTGTACGTTTCCTATAATAGTCGCAGGCTACTGCAGGGTGCTGTGTAACAATATTATAATTATATATGTATATACTTACTTCTCATTTATTGTAGGTAGCCCGGCGTTGGGGGGCACAAAAGAATCGCCCAGCCATGAATTACGATAAATTAAGTAGATCTTTGCGATATTATTATGAAAAAGGGATAATGCAAAAAGTAGCTGGTGAGTTATATGTGGTCCAAATTATGACGCTTAACGCTAATGACCAATTTTTATTTTTATCAATAATATTTTTGTTTTTTTAGGAGAAAGGTATGTGTATAAATTTGTTTGTGATCCAGAAGCCCTATTCAATATGGCTTACGGAGGCCATGCCGACAATAGTATAAAATTCCAATCAGCTGTTCGATCAGAAAACTCCAGTATAAAAGTTGAACCACAGCATCATCTTGGTTATACTGATATGCTCAATTTTTATAACTGTGGCATTGCACATTCCTATCAACATTTGCATCCTTACCTGCAAGATTCCAAACACACACGCTTCACCTAATTAGTATAATTCATACCTAAAATATAAACAGAAAATGAAATTTTAATCTTTAACTTATATACCCGTCAATGTATCGTATAATGTAAAGCATTAAAATTTCGAAACACTATAGCATTTTATTTATTTACTGATACGGATATTTTCATAGATATAATTTTTATTTTAATACGTAAAAATTATGCATTCTCATTTCTCGTACTATACAAAAATAATAAACCTTCAATAACAGTACGCCACTGTCAACTAGGTGTATGTAATGCTGCGTTTGAGAATCCACATCGGATGCATCTGAGATGTAAAAAATCTTTGATCACGTGGTTCAGTATACGTAAATGTAATGGGACAGATGTGTCCGATGTGGATAAAAAAACGCTCGAGATGTAAAAAATGCATCCGATGTGGATTCTCAAACGCAGCATATATAGGCAACGACGTACATTGCGTTCGGTTTGCCACGTTCCTTTAACTCCTTTAACACTTTTAACTCCAAACGACTCTTTTAGCGTTCGGTTTAGTCCGATTAGTGACAGTTTAACACGCTTAAATGTCATTTAAAAGCACCCTAAAATTTGTCCCGCTCCAGCCCCTGACTGACCGAACTCGCCTGTAGTACAAAAAAATAAAACGAAAAGAAGATTGATTATGATGAAAGAGGTTATGTATGGGTTATGTTTTGATTTGGGTTTATTGTTTATTTACTTATACGGTTATACAATTTTTTATATTTCATAAGTTGATTTAAAAAAATATATATACGATAAAATGTTTCCAGAATAGAAGCACAATTTACTGTAATAATGATTAGTAATATTGATAAAAAATTCTGTTTTAATAATGAAAAACTAAAATATGAAGAGCAAAAATCCAGCCAAACGAACATATCGTGGAGCAGTTCAGATTCTGATGATGAACCGAATACATTTTTCCAGTTAAAAAAATTAAAAACGAAATATAATAACTCCAGTCTTAATTGGATAAAGCCAGCAGTAACTGAAACTTTTTTGGAGAACAAACAGAGAAGCCCTGACGAATCTCCTGTTATTAGTAGTTGTGCAGTACAAGAGATGTCCCCGGTTTTATCAGAAAGCACATCGTCTGAAGTTGCAAACGAATCATCCCCTGTTATTGGAAAAAGACGTCTATTAAAAAGAATGAGAAGCAAATTCAAAAAATCTTCCAAGTTGAAATTTGAATCTTCTCCAGATATTTTTGAATCCCAAAGTTCACTAATTATAGAAAATGATTCCCCAGAGTTTTTAGTTAGTAATGGAGACATTTCTCCAATTAAATCACTGGATATTCATGATATAAGCTCTCAAAAATCTACACAAACAGATTTACAAAGAAGTTTAGAATCAATATATCCATTTCCTAGTCAACATAGTAGTCAAATTACTAGATATGATAGTACTGAAAGTAACAATTCAAATAATTCACTTTACTACCAACCTGGTTCTAAAAGAAAACGTTATAAAAAGGATGGTCTCGCTTTTCAGCTCCAAAACATACTACACTTAAAAAAATCTAAGATTTCCATATGGAAACACGAACTCTATATGAAGAGAGTCTCCAATGTAGAAGGAATGATTCAGTTCCTAGTTTTGAAAGTCAAAAAAGAATATGGCAAAGTGGTTCTTAATTGTAGTGAAATTGTGAAAAAGACTGAAAGAGTTGTATTTAGTGACTCATTATTAAGTGCTGAACATGAAAACTTTATGTTAGTTTTAATTAGTGGGACTGAAAACATAAATTTTATGGAAAGAAATACATATAAATTATATCCACCATATGAAGCTAAAATGGTATTGTACAATAATTCTAAAGAAGTTATATGTTATTATAATGTGAGTAAGATTATAAGTTGAAAAATACAATGGACATTTTCAATTAAAATTAGTTTTAATGGGGTTATCATTTAATCAGATATTGGGTCCTATGATTGAACGTTTACGTTATCCCTAAAGTATATTATGTTAGGCTGAGTTTTACCAGCAATGAGGCAAATTCGTATGATGGAAAGTTCTTCATAACATTTCAATTTATTCAATTCAATTATATACAATATACCTACATGATATGACAACATAATATTAAACAAAAACTTAGGCTTGTACTAATAAATGGACCTAAGTGACTTAACACTTGTATGTGCAAGAATGAAATGTAAAATATAACATAAAATATAACAATATAATTGATTTAAAGTTACTCTGAACTATATAATATGGTAATGGCAAAAAATATGAAGAAAAGGAACATAAAATAACAAATTAAAATAATTTCTTGAATTTAGAAAAATAAATATAAGTAGGTATACTTACAAACTACAAAAGTTGAGCAATGTATTCTCTTTTCTCAAAAATAAAAATTTTACGTTGCTCAACAAACCTTCTATACCCAATTGTGGTTCAAATCTTCAATGATAGTATGTTGAAAATTTTTGGTGCCATGATTGCAGTAAATCTCTGGTTGGCATCATATCTTCTAAATGGTACCAAGATCATGTTATTAAGATTATGTCTTGTTTGGTAGTAATGATTGATATAATTTTTGTTTTTAGATTTAAAGACATATATACAGTTGCTAAGGTAGTAAAGACATCGAATATTTAGAATATCATGATTATATAATAGGTTAGTTGTAAAAAGTTTGTCTTTAAAAAATATTACAGGTAAAATATAGTTTTGGACAACATTCAATTGATTTAATACAATGTCATAGAGCCCTCCCCAGGCAATGATACCATATCTTAGGAGCAATTCTACTAATGATTTATAAATTTGTATAAGTAGTTTTTTAGATACACATTACTGTTATTTTCCAGCTGTTATGCTGTAATTTAACATATCGCCTCAACAGCCTCAAATAACATGCCGTTAAGTGCCCAAACCTCCATGTTACCACTTTATTTATTATATTTTTAGAAATTTGATTTTAAATGGAGGGATTTATTAATATACATTTAATACAAGAATTAGATAATGAAATGAAGAGCTAAGTGTCTTGCGTATAACTTTATTACTATTTTATACTAATGAATTATGAGGTAAAATAAAATGGTGAAGAGATAAGTGTATTGAGTATAACTTTATTACTATTGTCACGATTCGTATAGAGAAAGTAAAAGTTGAAAAGTCTTTTGGTAGGTAGAAAGGGGGTAAACGTCAAACCACGTCGGGCGGCTCCGAGAATTTCACAGTAATGTTTACCTGCCAGTGTCGTTTCATAGAATAAGTAATTTTAAATTGTTATCGGCGGAACCGTACAATCGCATGTATTTATGGATTATAAATAATTATTAAACATGTATTATAATATTCAAATTATAATTTTACAAAATTTCAACAGCTATTCACAATTTATTAAACTATTTACTCGAAATTGTTATTAAAATCTATAAAATAATTTTGTACGCCAATGTATCGCGTCCACTTCGGTGAGATCCGGTGCCAACCTGTCAATTTATGTGTATAAAGTGGGAGAACTGGCAAAAGCATTTCCAACTTTTACTTCTGTTCTATAAATTCATATTTTTCCTTATTTTAATTAATTATTTAAATAACATCCTGTACATAAAACTTTGTTTAATTATGTCAACAATTTGTTTTAAATAATGTGCAAGGTTGGTTATTTAATAATTATTAAACATTAGTTTTAATAACAATAAACTATGAGAAAGTTATAAAGGCAATGTCGAGGGGATGCATGAGGCTTTTTTCCACAGGAAACGAATCCTCCCCATAGGAGGTCCCCCTTGTAGGAGATTTCCTGTAGCAACTCCAGCTCATAATCTTCATAGTTTAAATTAAAAGTCGTTTTTTAGTATTTTGAATAACTGCGTTTTAATAGTCGGGCAAGAGTTGTGACGTGTGCCCCAAATATTGATGAGTTGGTAAGTCTACGTTTTATGTACTTGTTATTATATTGAGCCCATTTTTGTGTATGTCGAGCTGTAGCCTATTTGGAATTTTTATATTAAATATATACTATATTTGTTTTAAGAAAACGTTGTGTTTCCTTTAACCTTCAGAGGTTTTAATTGCCGAATAAACCCCCCATGTAGTTAATTGCCATGAATCCTAGTTTAAGGCAATAGAGTCCTCATTGAGGTCTGAATTTATTTATTTTGTTATTTGAGCCGCGGGACATAGATAGTCCCATAATTATTTAAAACACGTGAATCGTGACTTTTCTTTTATTAAAAAACACGCATAATGTGACACTATTTTATATTAATTAATTATGATATAAAATCTTTATTATTAGTAATTTTCTATATATTTAAATTGCACATCCAAAGAGAGCATATTAGAGATCACAGTATACTTTTTTTATCTCCTGATAAGATTGTCTTCTATATTATGAACTTCCAAAAAAATAGGTGCAATTTATGCAAGAATTGGGTCCCATTTTAATACTCTTCAAAGGCCAAGGATTGTATCCATTCAGGTTAAACTAAAGATCTAATACCTATATTGCTATAATCTGAATTCTTAGTATATTTGAATCTGTTTTTTATTTATATAATTTGTAAATGTTAGCCTAAAGTGACCATTCATCCCGATTTAGGCGGTACAGTGCTAATTTTAAACCACTAGTCTTGATTTAACATGTGTCACGCTTTTATGCGATTTAAAAAAATTAATCTATATTTTGTTTAAGCCACCTAAAAATTAATTTTTATGGTTATGTGACAACATAATACAAAATAATTTTGTATCCAGTACATCAAAATGAGAAATATTTTTTGAAACAAATTTAAAATATAAACAATTAATGTATTAGCGTTTCGTTTTATTATTTAATAATTATTTCTCTGTAGTATAATGTTTTAATGTTGATGCATGTTTATTTTAACAATATTGGTTTTATTTAGATATATCATTGTTTAAAGAGTAGAGATAGTTAGTCAGAGCCTGTATAAATTCTGTTTGACTACCTCTCGCACCCTCCAGGCATAAGGAGATGGTGCCCTACTGGTGGAGAGAAGCCGAAACTGTTAATTGATCTGTTTAAAAGTAGAAATTTATCTTTATACATTAACGGCTACCCAAAATATTCTAAGAGTTTGCTTTAGTTGCCATGTTGAAAAGGATACGGAGTA